CTCTCTCTCTCTCTCTCTCTCTCTCTCTCTCTCTCTCTCTCTCTCTCTCTCTCTCTCTCTCTGATCCTCTCCTTCTTTCTTCCTCTCACCCTCCGCGTTTGTTTTCCTCGGTACGTCCTCGAGTTTTAGATTAAATCTGGGGTAATCGGTGGCTCTCTCTTAATCGCTTTAATACTCTTTAAGACAATTCCAATGACGTATAATTATAGCTGATTATAGTTAACGAGCAATTGCAGTTTGTAAGAGTCTCTTTCGTTTGTTTTCTCGTTCTAGAAAGATTCGCTGATCAAAACGTTGTCGTTGCAATCACGTACAGAAATGCACAGACTTTCTTATCAAAAGACGCTTTCTGCATTAGCAAATCGCGAATTTTTTTCTAATGATGCGCAAATATCATATAAGTAATGATTGTGTAACAACCCTCTTTCAGTCAACGTTGCAGCAAATTGAAGAACGCTATATTCTCGTGATAATACTATCCGGTTTTTAAGACCGCTATATTCTTTTGATAATACTGAAACTTCTATTAAGCCAACGTTTCCACCAAATCAAAATGGAAATTTGCATTAAATTTTTACGTACAGTCGTTTTGTGCGTATGATGCACACATTATTGTGGATGAAGTTAAATTTCTGAAAACTCAAAATACTTTATTGATACGTAACAAAATTATTTCAAATCGCAAATCTCTTTTAACTGTTTCAAACGGCAAAATCAGAAATAGGATATTCGTTAACGTTTAAATGGCATTTAACTCTGACGCCATTTCGATTTCTTGGCGGTGGTGCTGGTTTAACATAGGTCTCGCAAATCTAACTGCACAATCAGCAGATTAATCTTGTCCGCCGTGGCAATCGAGCTGCACACCTACGCATATCGACCCCTTGGTGTTAAGACTTACCGGGATCGGAAGAGGGATGCGCCCTGGTGAGTCTGCAGAGTTGTAATGGCAGATAACGAGTATCCGCTCGCGGTGGTGACTTTGGCGGTGGCGGCGTCGCGCTGAGGAAACCGCGCTGAAGTTCCCAGCCCACTTCCTGAATGATCGAAGCCTTCCTGAAGTATGGCGTCACTTCTCGCAGATACTTAACTGCAACAAGGAAACATGTCGTTATCGTTTCGCCGACTGCAACAAGAGGAGACGTTCGTGTTTTAGTTCTTAATCCTCAAAGTTTTCGCGATGATGAAAGATCTGTACCTTAAATTGTACATTTTGCAATTCGTTACTTTGTTAAATCTCTCCCTAAAATTTAGATTTATTCCTCCAATCGTTCTGAATACAAAAGTCGCAAGAAGTACGAGAAATTTCACGTCTTATGTCACAAGTGTCATTCTTTCTGAGTAATATTTGAGTTACCGTCTTCGTTTTCTCAAATAATCAACGTATGTAAAAATAAAAAAAAACAGGAAAGATTTCTCGCTCTCACTTTCGTGTTTTTATCTATCTATTGTCTATAATGTCTTTTGTTATTTAGCATATCTTGTATCATAGACATTAGGATACTTGGACGAAGAATGTGCTGTTAATTTGTAAGCGATATATGGATCAATTTGCAATAAGAGAAAAGTCACAGTACTTTGGTCATTCAGTTTGACTTGCCACCAAATTCGGCTCACGTGCATTTACTTTGTATACAACTGGCAGCACATTGACAACTTATAATAAACTGATGTAACTAATCCTTCCAAAGATACTACTTTAGTTGATTGCATACGACACGGTTTCAGAGCGAGCTGGTATAAAGCCGAATGTATCAACAAGAAGCCACACTGGTAATACTCAAAGTACCATAACTTCCTCTCATCGCTAATTAGACTCTCCCTAGAATACTCTGCTCAGATATTCTTAAGTCGCATTTTGTACAGATTCCGAATTTGTGCACTAATTAGCATGATACCGGTGAGAATTCGAATTTGAACTTCTTCATTGATCTTTCGAGCTCGACAGAAAATTCGGGGAATTAATGTGGGATCCAAATTTCGCCTCGGGGAGACATTCACGCCTCTGAAACGAAAGTCGTGTCGTGAAACTCGAGTATCGACCTTTCGAATACGTCGCAGGCACCTTCGCTTAACCGACATCTTGTCGGCCCTATTACGCGAAATTTAATGGAGAACGCGCCGTCACGTGGCGACAGCAGCAGGACAGGGGTGGAATTCTGATGTATCGTATCTGCGATGATCTAATATGCCCTCTATAGCGTTCCACGTGGATAATATGTGCAGCCTTGTAGCCGGCCATATTTACTCCCTCTCAATCCCCAAACGACATTTCCGCGGATCGCTCCAATCCTCTTGATTGAATATATCAGCATTCATCAGTGTCGGCGCCCTCGCCTTGATGTCATCTCAGCTTCGTGCAGGTTATAACAAGCTGTTTGTCCAGATCAATCTGATCGACATATAACATTCCATGTGCGCGCACTAGATATTTTAGTAAAATATTTTATAAATACAGATGACTGATATCGACCACTTAAATTAATATTTCACCATGCAACTGTATGGGTTGGTCAATGAGTTATCTTGGAATGTGTACCCGAGTCGAAATTTAGAATCTGCTATAAGCTATAATCTGCTATAAGCCCGTAAAAGTTCTATCATCTTTAAATTCCCCATGTACTACTCAATAAATTAACGTAACGATGCTAGAAAAACAAAAGATACTGTTTCGCACTCTGTCAGTTTTTATCGTGTTGTTTTCTTTATATATAAATTCCGTTAATATTCTACTTAAATAGTTGCTGCAGTCGATGACAAATTCGAACAATGTCTAGACGATCGTCACTAACATAATCATGCTATCCTTTTCGTATTTCTTGTATATACAGAACTTACATGAATGTATGTTATTTTGTTTTACCTTATATTCAATGGAAAAACTAACCATATGTAGAAATCTTTCTGCAAACTTTTTCGATATTCTGAAGCTTCCAAATGCAGATGCGAAAGTAGGGCAATATGTTCTTCAAAATTTTTCTGTTTGGAGCATCCACACTTTCGGTATGTACAATTGGATTAGACAAATACGTTAATTGATAACTTGAGATTTTACATTAAATATTTTTTTGTTCGTTTTCGTCACATATGGAACAATGTTCCTATTTATTTTTACACGTACTTTCATTGCATAAAAGCATTTGTAATTCTGTGTAATCAATACGTTACAATACGACGTAAACTTTGCAGAAAAATGTGAGTGGTCAGTAAAGTTTTCAGCTTCATCCTCTTAAGCAAGTCGATATTAATAAGAAGTGTAATAAACGCCGCGATAAGCACCGGCTGTGTTTGCCGAAAATCAAGGAAAATACTTCTAATAATGTACTCACGATACATCCCGACGATCATCGCTATTTTGGCATTCCCGATATTTATTTACGCGCCCGGTTCACTTTCGATAAATAAAAGATGTATAGAACACGGAGCGATATTGATCGCGATGTGTCAGGTGAGGCTGCTCGTCGCGAAAAGATCGATGTCCAAAATGGCCGCGCAATCACTGACGCAATGCCGAAAGTGCGCGCCAAAACGTGAAAGATGTCGCGGTTTGGCAAGGACGTGCTCAAGTAGTTACGTCTCTCTCACTCTCGCTGACGGACTGACCGCACGAGATCCGACGTCGTGTATATCGTATGTAGCGTCATTTTATCTTTCTTTTTTCCTCGGATTATCATCGCGATTCTAACTCCTCGTTAATAAATCTGACAATCGTCCGATTCTACTACTACTTGAGCGAGTCAATGTTAATGAGAAGTGCAATAGACGCCGCAATAAGCATCGGCTGTGACGAAAACAACGGGATTACTTTCTAATAATGTACTCACGATATATCCCGACGGTCGCACATCGCTATTTTGACATTCCCGATATTTATTTCCGCGCCAGGCTCACTTTCGATAGACAAAAGATGCATAGAACGTGGAGCGATATCGATCACGATGTGCCAGATGAGGCTGCTCGTCGCGAAAAGATCGATGTACAAGACGGCACGCAATCGACGACGCAAAGTGCCGAAAATGTGCACTGCGGCGTGTACGGTGGCGCGCTCGTACGCCGCCCTCTCGCTGATGTCTCACCACTCGATAGATCAATAGTTACTAGAACTTCTCGATCAGAATCGCATTTTAGTTGTGCATTGTTTACGATTGTTGATTTATCCAGGAAGTAAGAAAGTGTAGTTTAATTCGACAGTAAGGCCAGAGACATTTAAAAAACTTAAACAGTAAGATGTAAGCAATAAACAGATTGACCAATCACAGTCGATGTTTCTTCTTATCGTCAAAAGATCAGCGACCGTAATTGGTCAATTTTCTTACTGCTTACGTCCTACTGTTTAAATTTTTCTACGTGTTCTCGGCCTTATCATCGAATTAAGTTCTCGCTTTCTGGATTTCGTGAGCAATGTACAGCTAGATACGCATGCGATTCTGCAGCCTTATTTTATAACATTCTATAATATTCTAACGACAATATCACTACCATGGCATGTCGTTGCGTAGTTTTTCTATCATATATCATAGGCTTTCTATGATAAGGGCCGATTGTTCCTCTTGGTAAGTTACCTAACAGTTAAATCATGTGTCTGTCTCTAATTTGAAGAAAAAACGAAGTTTTCTTTAATTGTCAGGTAGAAGTTGGAATAATTGGCTTTAAGACATTAGTCATAAAATAATAATCATAAATAGGCAAGTTGACCAACCATAGTCGATTATTTTTGAAAATAATTAACTATGATTAGTTAATTTGCTTGTGGCTTATGACTAATGGCTTCTAGCCATGTATGATTGTAGAAGGTCCATATAGCTGCGCAACGACAATGCAAGTCTAATATTACATGCGTCGTATAAGTATTGTCAGACGTGCTGATTGACTGATAGATAAAATTCTTCTCTAAAAGGTCCCTAACTTTTTCTCCATGTATCTCAAATATTTTCTATCCAATTGCGTCCGACAAGCTTATCGTACGACACATAATATACAAGCCTAATAGACCTTCTACAATAAGATATTAGTCATAAACCGTAGGCAAGTTGACCAATCACAATTGATTATTTTTGAAAATAATTGACTGTAATTGGTTAATTTGCTTATAGCTTATGACTAATGGTTTATTGTAAAAGACCCATGACAATAACGATACTATCGTTAAAAATTACAGAGTCGCATCACTGGTCGGAAAGTTCTAGTAACTATCGATCAATCAAGTGGCATCGCGGAGCCGCGATCCGATTGGACAGCGTAGGAGCGCGACGCCCTTCGCGCCGCAGTGCGCACTTTCTGCACTTCGCGTCGTTGATTGCACGGCCGTCTTGGAAATCGATCTTTTCGCGACAAGCAGCCTCTACTGACATATCGCGATCGACATCGTTCCGTGTTTTATGCATCTTTTACCTATCGAAAGTGAGCCGGGCGCGGAAATAAATATCGGGAGTGCCAAAATAGCGATATGCGATCGTCGGAATGTATTGTAAGTACGTTATTAAAAAGCAGTCCTCTTGTCTTTCTACACATAGCCGGTGCTTGTCGCGGCGTCTATTGCACTTCTCATTAACATCGACTCGTTCAAGTAGTAATAGAATCGGACGATCGTCGGATTTATTAACGAGGAGTTAGAATCGCGATGATAATCCGAGGAAAAAGAAAGACAAAATAACGCTAGAGATATACACGACGTCGGATCTCGCGCGGTCGGTCTGTCAGCGAGAGTGAGAGAGACGTAGCTACTAGAGCGCGACATCGTTCACGTTTTGGCGCGCACTTTCGGCACTGCGTCAGTAATTGCGCAGCCATCTTGGACATCGATCTTTCGCGACAAACGACTCCACCTGACACATCGCGATCGATATCGCTCCGCGTTCTACGCATTTTTTATCCATCGAAAGTGAGCCGAGCGCGGAAATAAGTATCGGGAGTGCCGAAATAGCGATGTGCGATCGTCGGGATGTATCGTAAGTACGTTATTAAAAAGAACTCTCCTTGTTTTTCGACACAGTCAGTGCTTGTCGCGGCGTCTAATTGCACTTCTCATTAACATCGACTCGCTTAAGGGGATGCTGAAGCTGAAAACTTTACCGACAGAACACTCACATT